GGATCCCCTAACATGGGAGCTATCCTCTAGAAATTTCAGATCTGGACAATTGCCATTTTAAATGCGCATGTGTGACATCTATCATCTAGAAATGGAGCATTTCCCCAAGAAAAACGGTTGAGTTACTATGATCCGCAGCCACTTTGTGTTCGCCATGTCTTGGTGAGGCAACCCCTGCAGCGTGAGTGTGACAAGCTCTACCTCAGTCCTGCCCAAGAGCTTAAGACCCTGGCAGCAGACTCCCAAGGAGATGAACTTGGAATGGGCTTCACTGGTCTTGGCTCTGAAAATGATTCGTTGAACCCCAACATTGGCCATGAAAACCATCAAATCATAGGAAAACCTGCGGCTGAAAGCTAGTTGATTTGGGTGTTTTCCTAAGATTTTCAGACAAAGCCTCATGGTTTGTGCCAGGGCTTTCAGCTGGGAACGAAACGGTGGTCCGATTTGACGAGGAATCCTGAGAATGAAGCTGGAAACCCTTGGGATTTGTCAATGATGTTGCCATGCAGTTGGGCCCTAGGAGTCGCCTGGGCCAACGTCCTTTTGGATCTTTGGTTCAGCATGTCAGCAGATGCGGCAGATGAGTTATTTTTTTTGGAGGGTTATCTGAGTTATCTGTGCTTGGTTTATTGGATGAGTTGACTCAGATGACCTTTGATTGTTTGAACCCCTACCAACCAGAAAGAAAGGGACGACACAACATCGCCGACAAGGAAATGGGACAGGATGGCGGGTCTTGCACACTGCTTAACTGAAGTAATGATCACTGGAGTTGCATTTCCATCCCAGATTTTGTCGGTTTAGTTCATATTACTACCATTCCGATTCTAAGGGCTACCATGGGCTACCCAATTCAAATTCATGTGCCCATGCCCATCGATGGTTTGTGTATTCTTCTTGGACATGTATCATATCGAATCCGTGTACAGAATTTGCTATTTCGACTTCGCACGTCTTCTTTCTTCATCCACATCAGATTGCTGATTGCGGGGTGCAGGTGGACCGACAACAATGGGGAAACATATTCGTGAAATATGACATGTATTGGAAGGTCGGTAAGTCGCACATCCCTAAAGAAAGCTCGTGGCATACCAAGGCATTCTGTAGAGAATTTGGGTTTACCACCACCGCACTTCACAGGTCCTGGCCATGTTTCCACCAGCTTTCTGACAGTGTTCAACTGTTCCACAATACCGTAGTCCTTCTTGTACAATTTGGAATTTATGGGTGATTCCGAGTCCAAAATTGAGGCTTATATTAAATTATATATGATTTATATGCCCGTTCTTCACATTGGAGGACCCAGTCTGGAATAGGTCAAGGATTCACCGCCTGTCACCGGCCAAGGAACACCCAAAGGGACGATCAAACGCGTTCCATTCAGGTGGCGCGTCGCGAAAATCAAAGACGTATGGGTAAACCTTGAGTAGGTAGTTCTACATTCTATAGTACAGATTATATGTATGTGTATATATATATATATTATCTATATATATATATAGTTATAGATATACATGCTATGTGTACCGGAGTGTTTTTTGTGTCAGAGCCAGCTAACATAAAAGCCGTGGCAGGGTATCCAAGATTAGCCATTCTGGTGCACAAAGTGGTGCCCTATAGGTATATCTACCTACCATAGCCCCAACACTTACTTAAGTTGTAAACCAACTTAGCTAACTTGGCTATCTGAAGTTGGTTAGCTGGTTATATATATATATACATATACATATATATATATATATACATATATATATATGTAAAATACATATTCCACTTATCCCCAGTACATCCCCATTTTCGTTAAGGATCCTACGAGCACCATTTTGCAGGTGAAGGGTGGCTTCCGATTTGGCGAGGCCGCGCGCGACTTCAGCATGAGGAGCAACCCGCTATAGGCCGAGGGTTTACCACCGATTGATGCCTGTTCAATAGAGAAAATATTGGAAATAATATGGGTTCCCATTGGAATTAGGTGCACGAAGCGTTTTTGGCCAAGCCCAAATGTAGGTTTGAACACCAGCCAGAAGAGGACTTTTCGTTGGGAACCCCACCACATCTCCATTCTTGTTCGTCACATCTCATTCTTGAAAAGCCTACCTGAAACAGATTTCCACTGTCTGATGATGGTTGATTTCCAGACCTGAAAAGTTTGGCCATTTTGGGATAGTTACCCCAATCCTAACAATGATTTATCTATGTGGTTGTCATCCATTTGTGACGGTCAGGTGCGGCATCATGTTGGCGACGTTCTGTGTGTAGAAAAGCGTGCGAGTTCCAAACTGAGTGCAGCTTCAAACAGCAGAACATCCACTGGGAAATCTGTGGGTTTGTCTCAGTTTGTGATACCATGGGATAGCCCGGAATGGCTACATGTTACTAAGGAAATTATCCTGAAGAATGGGATTTTGGGCTCCGGAATTTTGAGACGACCTTGGAGATAGAATGTAGGTTACTGTTTGTTATTTAAAGGTGCCTGGCACAATAAAAAATACTGTAATGGATGATTCAGATTAACCCCTTTGATACAATGGGTGGTGGTGGCTCGTACACCATCAATAGATCGATGGTAAACCCCACCATTTCTGGGTCACCTCGGGGAGATCCAGGAAAAATAACACCATCTCCTTGGGAGACCTTTCTGCCCCCTGTGGACGCCAGGCATGGCGACGGCGACATGGCGCTGCCTCCTGACCCTTCTGACCTTCGGTCCCTGGAGCTGTTGCTAAGGCTAAGGGCTGGGAATATGGAGGATTTACCATGGATTTACCGATTTACCATGAAAAATGAGATCTGGGGAACATGGAGATATCATGGGGATAGCGGAGATTTCGCCAACTCCATGTGGGTTTGTCTGTTCCTTGGGGGTCTACCACTAATTACGGCAGATTTAATGGTGAAAATTATGATAAACCATCAAATTTGGGGAGCTTCTTTTCAGACAAATCAACATCTTGCCGCGAAAACTGGATCAGTTGATCAACAAAAAGAGTTCAGTGGCAACAAAAAGTCCCAAGTAGCCTTTGGTAATCAAACATGGCAATGGGAAATCCCCTCTAAATGGAGGTTCTAATTGGTAAATCATCGCAACAAATGGGGGATTATAGCGCTAGCCATGTTTGAGTACCGGAAGGTCGCAAGAAAATCAAGCAGGTGTCAGCATACATCCAGGGTTGATCCCTTTCAACCGAGGTGCTTGGAACTGCTTCCTGCGGCCTGCTGGCTCGAAAGGGTCCAGAAAGCCACGGTGGCCTGGCAAGTCACTGTGGACGGGGATTCAACGGGAGACATTCAGAGAGGCCAGATGAGCTGCTTATGATTTCCCATCTGGCAAAATTGAGGCGTTCGTGGTAATTTTGGGGGTATACTCAGTATACTCCAAAATGATCAGATTTTTCAATGAGACAAATTATGACAAAGGGTTGAAATATGAAACGTTGACAGCCGAAATGCAACTGCAAAGTTCGGAAATCAAGCTAACAACGTATCTTTCACAGTACTCACAATACGCAACCTGGAGTCCTTGGGAGTCCCCAAAAAAATTCAGTGGGACACATCCATCGTCTGTTGGAGTTTTTGGGAGTCCGCGACCGAGGTGGAGAGCTGCCGATCGCGATAAATTTTCTGCGACTTGGGCGAGCTTAATGGGGATGTTGGAATTGGACGTTGGAGAAAAACTATGTGTAAATGGATTTTCATGGGGATCTACCTACAAGAATGGGTGGTAAACATGTGTAAATCTCATGTCTATATGGTGGATAAACCTACATTTCGATCATGAACACCCTTCCCTCTCAAGTGGTGGATAAACCATCAACAAGTTTGTGTTCGTCTACAAATAGGGGTCTGGGATAGCTGATAGCCTAATTTTGTGGGAATTTCAAGGGGAAAAACGCGGTCTTAAATGGTAGGACTTTGCGTTTCCAATTTTCTAGCACCCCCACTGAAGCTGAATGAATGGAATGCATTTCATGTGTTGTCATTACTGATTCGTGTGGTATTCTTAATGTCTTTGGAATTAGGCATTGGTTACGTTGAAAACCAGTTTCTGTGTTTGAGCACCAACTGGGATGACCCAATTGATAAGCCTTTTTTTTTTGAGGCAGCAGACTCATTCTGGGCCGCGGCCAAACGTTCCCAACAACATCCAATCTTGGATAGACTTGGTCTTTTTAAATGAGGTAAGCAATGGTTTGGGTTGCGCGAAAAGAGGAAGAACTCGCTTTCCCGCGTGGTGACACACCTGCAGCATCCTGAGGTCGGGCAGAGGCGTTGGAAGCAACCGGTTTTCCCCATTTTGGCTATTCTCATGATGGGAAAATGGGAAATCATGGGATGGAATGGGGCCATCCCATTGCAGTTTCGTCGAGACTGAAATGCTGTTTCTGGTTTCATCATGGCTGGTATCACTTTCTATCCCCTTGGAGGTTCCCAGCTTCGTGCAGCCAACTTGTATCATACGAGATTCACATGATCCCACCAAATCATGTCACACAGCCGTCATGGCAGGCTGCTCAGCAGACTGTGCGGAGACCCGTTGCAGCGCCATGATGCTTGAGTTTGCCAGAATGGGATGGTCTAAGACTATCTGAGAATATTAACTCATCCGGATACAACGAATGTGATACGGGCCGCAACGATGGTTGAAAAGGACATTTCAAAAACAACATAAGGGTCCATTAAAACCCCAACCTTGTTGGCATGCTCCCCTTGTTGCTTAAAAATCAATGTTCAATCTCTGTTGTTCGGACACAATTTTGACGGTAACATCTGCACTTTGTTGATTTGCCAGGGCAGAAATTAGAACCAACTGGATGATTCATTTCACTAAATCATTTATACCCAGTAGGTGGCTTAGTTGGTCCAATTTCAAAACCTGATCTTTCTGAAATTCCCCATGATTTGTGATGAGTCCTCACTATCAGCTTGTAACTCCCCACTCACGGCCACCAGCCATTTCAGCCGGAGATCAAACGTACCCGACGGGGGCACGTGCCGCCATGTTTATCAGATCCAAAAACTCCAGGCCCCGAAGGGAAATTGGTTGGGTGTCTGTGATCATGAGGTATTGGGTATACACCAAATGTCACCATTTGGATGAAAACTATGAACAACCATTGGAGTCTTGAGATACCTTATGTCCATATAAATGCAGATAGGGAGGTAGCAAGCAAGCAAAATGGGTGTCAGAGAGTTATCAAGAATGTGTACCCACGTACATGTAGGATTGTTCATCACTACATACCTGAAAATGGTTAAGTGTGGAGGATCACCTTCTCACAAAAAAACAATAGGTTCAAGGAAATTCCACCCAAATCAACATGAATCACATGTTGACATGGTACTTAATACTAATTGTCTTCTACTCACTTGGTTCAAGTATATTGTTTTACTGTCCACCCCTTGGGGACCATCCTAGCTGCATCCAGTGGTTGATATCCAAAATATCGATCACTATGAAACCCCCCAATACTGAACGGTTACGGTTTACGGTTTGGCCCCCTCAGTTTTTTGCAAACGGTTTCATGACCCCAGACCCTTGTTGGATGATAAGGTTGACTTCCAGAATTCATCATAAAATGCTCAGCCCCATCACCCCATTCCATCCTATGATTTCTCTGGGTGAATCTGCCCATGTTTGGACAGACCCTAGTATCATATTGTTGATGCAACCCATTCCGTTTTATCCGAAATTATTTCCCATTGTTTTTTCCTAATCAAATCACCATTCTTGAAGCTAAATGTACCATGTAGCTACCGTATTTATGTGTATATATATATATTGATATGCATACATCCCAATCTATTAATGGAAATCATGATATATATATATATAATATATAATATATATATATATTTATTTGTTTCAATATATTTCCATTACATATCCCAATGATATATTTATATATATACACATTATAGCACATGATACTATACCAATATTACATCCCATATTTTGTGTTTTTTTCTTTGTGAAATCTCCCGGATTTTTACCCCTTCTACACATGTTTTTCAGGAGAGGCAAGACTAGCGACTTGTCCTTGCTGGAACGAAGAGAGGCAGCTTCCTGTTGGAAGCCAAGGTGTTTGAGCCATTCAAAATGCAATTGGCTGGTAAATATGTATATATGCACATATATATATATATGTATATATGTATATATGTATATATGTATATATGTATATATGTATATATGTATATATGTATATATGTATATATGTATATGTATATACATACATACAGTTTGTGGATATTTTTTACTTTTCTATTTCCCGTTGAGACCCGTTGATCATTGTTTGTACCAACTGATTTGATAGTGACATAACCCACAAGCTCGGAATAGCCAGAACTCCCCAGTACCATGGGATCCCAACTTTTGATGGCCGCTGTGGGGTAGAATGACCATGTGCTGTTTGGAGCTCAATCATATAGAAATATGTAAAAAAAGGGACCTGTAGAATGTAGAACTAAGTTAATTGTATCTATAAGATGCTGATTGTTATTGTGATTAGTATGGCTGCCCTGTGGCTAAATTCTCTCGCACTGTGGGTAGTTCTTGGCAAAAAACGGAGACATCACGGTCTGGAAAAGCCGTTTGCTTTATCCACAACCATCAGCTGAGCCACGTCCAAAACCCCCTGTTTCATTTCTAGTAAGAGGGTGGCAATACGGACCTCGCGTAAGCAAAACCCTGGTGTGCGTAAGCCCGCGTAAGCATCAGCGTAAGCTATTCCCGCGCGTAAGCATCAGCATAAACTGCGGGCGCGCAAGCAGCGCGTAAGCTGCCGCGCAAGCATTCCCTTAGCGCCTTCGGAAGAACAAAACCTTTTGGACACAGCTCACAGCTGAACATGTTCCCATTTTTTTTGGATCAGTTCACCGAGACAAAGGGCCCAACTGTTGACCCATTGTTTTTTGGCTAGTGCAATCCTTTGATTTCAACAGCGCCAACAGCTTAGCTTCCTTGTGTACCAATTCATTGTTTGGACATTCACAGTTGTAGTAAGTCACTACTTCTTGGGAAGCCCCAGGTATGGGGACATTGATGTCCCAATTCACAGGTGGCTTAGTCAAAAACCATTTCAGTCGCATCAAAGCCACATTTGTTCCAGACCGCCAGGTGTGTTCTTGGTCACTGGAGACTGTCCTTTATACTGTATTTCTTCATTGAATTCCTACTTTTCGATGATTTTCATCTTTTGTTTCTAGCAAAATGAGAGGCATCATGACAGTTTCAAATGCTTTATGAATGTTTCATGAATGTTTTATGATCCCTTAAACAATCCCACGTATTTGCTTCTTGTCTTCGGTCCATCCAAATCCCCCGAAGGCGCAGGTGGTCCACGTGGAAGCCGAAGCAGGCGACCATGGCGCTGCGCACGCCGCGCACGGCGGCGAGATGGAAGCGCCCCTTGGCCGAGAATGTGGCCATGTGGAGGATTCCTAAGCCATGGAGGTGCCCCCAAATCATCCAAATCATCCATTGATAGATGGATTTTCCAGTAACCATGCAGCTATTGGGGTTATATCTATTTATGGACACCCCCCATGTGGAGTGTTCTTAAGTCGTGGTTTAGATAGTCATCACCATGGGTTTCAAGATTTTCTACATGCTCACCCAGGACGACTGGATGATTTGGGGAAAAACCCACATGACGAAACGGACACCTCCATGTGAGTTGGACAAAACCACTATGTGATGATTTTGAGGTTGCCAAAAATCTCACAGCCATTTAAGTTTCTAAACAGGCTTGGAAAACAAAGACACCCACTTTCGTGCAGTGGGAAGCGGGATAATGTGGTGCTTCATTCTGGATTTCAAAAAGTGCGAGCTGGTGCAGTGCCAGTTGATCCTGTGACAAATGCATGCAACTCCAAACTTTGAAGTCAACGGATGTGTGACATGGTCAGCTTTGAACATCAAACCTCGAAGTTTTACAACCAGTCTGTGCAAAAACAGCCTCAGGTAACTCTGATTTCTGAAGAGTTCTGAGCTTTGACTTCTAAATCGCTTTCAACAATAGATGTTGTCCGAAAACGGGGTATGCAGTGTATACCCTTAAGAATCGCCAATTACAAAAGGTGCTGATCATAGGTCCAATTGGAGGTCCATTTTCGGACCGTTTCACTATATAGTGCAAATAGTGGCTACTAAAGCCGTGTTGGTTCATGATTGGTTCCAGGGTTCAAGACATTTTTTTTGACCCAATGGGTCACTGCTAGTTCTATCAAGTTCTATCCCTATTATATCATCATTTTCGCTACATGAACATTGGAGCTCCTCGTAGTCTATGAGCCGGGAATCCTGTTCTGAACACAACCAGTTTTTGATGGGTCCAGCCTGGCAGATGGTTCGCTGGAATTTGAAAATGAGTGGATACCTCAATTTTTTTCTTGCAGAGAACACAATTACTTGCCATCTGGAAAAAAAAATCACAGCTGAATGACTATTTTGCAAAAATCATCATTCTTGATAGGTAAATCATCAAACTAAATGGGCAATTTTCATGCATTTCATGGAATTTTACGTATGAAACTGTTGGTTTACCCGTTTGGTACCTGGGGGAGTCCCCGTTTCAAGGCCAGTGGTTTGGTGACTGGGTATCTGCAACACTAGGAAAAAGACACCAAGCCACCAATCAACAAGTTGTTGTTTTCAAAGACACTAGAATCCAACAGCATCGCGATTTATGTACATATACACATATACATATACATGTATATATATATAATTATATATATAATTGTATATATATATAATTATATATATATATACATGTTGACATGGAGTCCAGGATATCTCAGTGTCTGATGGTCCACGGGATAGTTGGCAGGTTTCTGCAGGTTGAGACAGCTTGTCTTTATGGAGCTTGTGGCACTCATCAACCAATATCCCGCTTTCAGTTAACAGGTTAACTGGCTAACTGGCCTAACTAAGGTGGCTTAATGATTTCATAACTTCGCTACTATGCTATTTAAACATATTTGAAGATCATTTATTTTCCTTCCACTTTACGGTATTTACTTTTCCTAACAGTTTTTTTTTTCACGGGAAACATCTCAGGTTGATGGCCATCTTTTGCAGCAAAATGATGATCCTTCTGATCTTCGTTCCCTTGGGCCTGTTTGCAGGCCGAAAGCCGTTGAAAGCAAACGTTGGAACACGGCAGTTTTGTATTGGATGTATTACAGGAGTTATTCAAGTTATGTGTCAAGGGTAGCCGAAAGAAGACAAAGCATCTGGTTGAGAAATCAAAATAGTCTGAAGTAGGAGGATATATCGGATATATCAGTTGGATTGGCCCAACACTTGAGTATCTATCATCGATCTCCATGAGAACTTGCTGCTCCGTGGTTGCGGGATGTTGCGGGTATCTCCCACTTCTCGTCATCCAGAAGGGCCAGTACCTAGAGATGCGCAGAACCAAGTAAGCTGGAACATTGATGGTGGATTATCACTACTGTATCTTTCAGATAAAACGAATCCGAGTGATAATCGAATTTATCTTTCAGATATCACTACTGTATCTTTCACTATTTTTACTTTCTGGCCTTTCAGAGTGATGCCACGGTGGTTTCTCAGAATGCCTAGCTGTCCCGACCTGGCCACGCCTGAAACGGAGTGTTGCCTAGTAGGGACCAGATGGGGCCAGTTGCAATGAGGCAGCCGCTTCACCATTTTGCTTGCTCACCACCATCATTTCTTCGTTCAGACCCTACATATTCACAAAAAAAAACCTGATGTTGCCATAAGTCAACATAATCTCAAGCAAATTAGTTAAGTTCTATTCCATGTCGATCAGTTGACTTCAGGAAATCAAATGCCATTGATGCATTGCTCAAGCTGCATGACCCCGCGTGCGATTCTTGGTTTGGCCTTGGAGGGTGTCCGATCCAATTTCTGGGGCTTGGGCTGTCCGTCCTATTGTACGGCTCCTAGCTTTGGGTTGCTTGGTTTCTGTCTTCTCTTTGGTTGGGTCACTGGTTTTCTGTGTGCTGGCTTATTGCTCTATTGGATTTCTGGCCTTGGACTTTTCCCGGCCGTTTTCCGTGGACCTTCTGCTGCCAGCCCCTTTGGATTTTCTCCGGGGCCTCCTCCCAACCGTTCTCAACTCCTGGCCTCATACGTGGATGAGCCAGCCCCAAACCGGCCATCACGAAGACGTTGAGCTACGTGTGTCCCTGCCTGGTGGTTTGCGTGTGGTGGTTACTGCTCCTGCTTCGGCTTCTGGACTTGCCGCCGAACTCTTGGGTCACATCTCTTTGTTCCGTGCTGAGCGTTCTTTGTCCCCTACTGAGCGTTCCTTTGAGGTTCTGTCTGCTGCTAGTGGTGTGGGCTCCGCTCCGGTGGCTTCTGGACTTCCCTCTGGGTACACTGCCAGGTCTTTTGAAACTAGGGACTCGATCCAAGACTCTTTCGCCCCGTGCCCATCCTATCTCTTCAAAGACGCTGGTAGCCTGTGTGGTTCGACTTTGCCTGGCACTGATCGTGTGGAAAGGGCTTGGCGTGCTGGACAGTGGGCCAAAGCTGTCAAAGATCGCAGAATTGGCAGCCCAAACCGAACACCAGCCATTGACCTTCGACCAAGGTACTACGCGGTGCTCTTTGCCGAGGGCCTGGAGAACCCAACGATCTTCCAAAGTGCGGCCAGCTACTGGAAGTGCATCAAGTCCCTGGAGGGATCAAGTTCGATATCACAGAGCTTCCCCAGTGAGCTCGAAGCTCGGATTTACCTGCAGGCAGCAGGGGCCGTGGACTTTTCCATTGCACCTTAGTTGCATCAATGGCGACTTTGCATGGACTTTCTTTGGAGGTTTTGGTCAGTCTAAAGCAAGATGTGTTTCCCTATCTGTTGGACTGGCCAAATGTGGACTTCGAAGGTGTGTCCGAGGTTGCGGTTTTGGTGGTTGGTGTCCGTCCCAATGGATTTCTGTTGGCGCTTCCGGTGGGGTTTATTCCAGAAGAGATTCTGGCAGTTGGCAACAGTCCTTCTCCTCCTGGTCTGGTGGGTCCGTCGGTGGTTCTGGTGGTCCCTGGAAAGATCTTAGAGGATGGGGCCCTTTCTCCTATCGGCAGCGATGTGCCGGTGCTGGTTGTGGACTTCTCCGAAGGAGCTCTTCGTCACTTGCGTCTTCCAGGAGAGCAGGAGCTGGTAACTTACTCATACGATCAGGATCATCCCTTTGCTCTGCCAGATCCAGACAAGCTTCTGGCTGCAATCCAGGATTGGGTCAAGGGCGGAGAGGAGTCTTCAATGCTAGGATTCTACTCCGCTGCCGAACTGGATGGAGAGCCGCTGGAGGAGGGAGATCTAGAGGCTGCCTTCGAGGACCCGGGCAGTCCCACCACTCCCAAAAGAAGAGCCACAGCTCCAGGTGGGCGAGGGAAGCCTATTTCACAAGGAAGGAGACCAACGGTGTCATCCCTGGCAGGCTCTATGGAGCAGCTCCTCTCCGCCAACATGGGCATGCAGAAACAACTAGAAGCATTGACCCTGCGGCAGCAAAAGCTGGAGCAGACAGCAATTCAGCCAGCACGAGTGCTTCCAGCACATCAGGCTTCCCTTCACCAGCCTATCTCATCGGCATTGATGGCAGCTCCAGTACCCAGCAGTGTGGTGGCTCATCAGATTGGCACCCCGCCTCGCACGGCTGTTCCTGCGTCCCCGGGTCTCTTAAGATCATCTATGGTGAAGCCTGTCGAGGTTGGAGAATTGGAGGAGGTTGCAATGCCCGATCACCCATCTTCCTCAAGAGACCCACTGGCACAAGCCGTCCTGGCCCAGTCGAATGCTTTGACAGCCCTGGTCAGCCAGCTGGCCTCTCAGACCAGCGACCCCATGTTGGACTTGAGCATGGGAGCTGCTTCTACCGCGACCAGGGGTGCTCAGGGTCGGGCCAAGCTGCAAATGGAATTGGCAGCTCAGAAGGGGACGTTCTTCAACTCAGTCCTCTGCTCGATGGCAAGGCGCATGCAGCCAACGAGCCCTGTAGAAGGAACCCCACAAGAAATGATGATGAGGGGAGTCTGCGGCACCAAATACCTAGAAAGGTTTGGAGGCTTCGGGAAACACAGGGACTTGGGATGTTTGCAATATCAGGTGATGACCATCTTGGACTTCTTGCAGATGGAAAACATCCAGGGGGCCCGGGACGCGGCATCTCTGTTGGCGGTGACGCTGGACCAGGCAGCGTTGGACAATGGAAGGTTCGACCTGGCATCGCTGCTGTGTCTGCAAGAGGAGCCTCCCTCCACGGTTTTCAGCCACAAGCCTGCGACGATCCTGTCAAAGGCCAGGGCCTTCAGCCCTCTTGCCGACCAAAAATGGATCACCTGTGCAATAGCTTTTATAAAAGAATTGGATACCATATCCGCCAAGCGTCTGGAGATCACATCAAAGCCAGCCACATTCGGAGGCGACAGAAGCTCCGAACCTGCCGCAAAGCCAAAACCTTATCCAAAGAAGAAAGGTCGAGGTGGGAAAGGCGGGGGCCAACAGACAGAGGTGGAGGAGTAGGTGCACCGGGGGTCTTGCCTTGCATGCATGAGGCACAGGAGGGGCTGGAGTCAAACCCTCTTGTTGCCGATATGAATTTCCAGACGTGGGCTGCCTGCCTACCTCGGTGGATTTTGAAAACGAGGACCCAATTTGCCAGGGCTCTCGCTTTGTCTTTTGCTGTTGTGCGTCGTTCTGCTGAATCGACTTCCATGGCTTTTCCATTGCCCCTTGCATCTTTGGATTGTTTTAGGAGTAGTGGCCCTAAGCTCTCTCGCCGGCGTTTTTGGACTTTGTGCAAAGACCGACTTGTGAACATTTGGATTTTGATTTTGGATTTCATGTTCCTAGGTCGTTGGCCGTCTGCAGCTGAGCTTAGGAGATGCCCCAATCCTCTGCAGCTTTCGATTTTTCAGAGGTTGAGGACATTTGCAGCCATGTGTGGAGAGGCCCAGGCACGTTTCAATCTTTGCCCCGGCCGATCCGGACCTGAATTAGGTGCAGAGCTGTTTCAACTTGAGAGGTTCAGCGAAGTCTGTTCTGATCTGCATGTGGACTATTTGGATTCGAGGTGCGTTGGATTTCAGAAAGACCCCAACTTGCTCCCCCGGGAGTTGTTCCCTGAGTTGGTCCCCTATCGTGCCTTGGATCCTAGTCGGTTGAAACTTGTTGGAGAAGGAAAGTGGCCTCTCAGTGACTTCCTTGACGGTGTTTTGTGGCTTCCCTTCCAAGAACCAAAGTTTTTGCTGCATGGTTTTCCTGTTGAGCCTGGAGATCAGCCCTGTTTGCAAGCCGAACGTCGGTCAGACTGTCTGGACCTAGCCAAGCTTTGGGATGTGCGTGGACTTTTGCATTTGTCGCCTGCACCCATTCAGCCGGGTTTGTTGTGTCGTGTTTTCAATGCCTTTAAGAACAAGGATTGTGACCGTCAGATAGGAGACCGTAGAATTGTGAACCAGGCTGAGTATCATGTGGATGGGCCCTCCAAAAACCTTCCCCAGGGTCAGCAACTCACCATGCTTAGGCTGCCTCGTTTTACCCATATGCTGAGGGGCTCCGTCACAGACAGGAGAGATTTCTATCACCAAGCAAAAGTTTCCGAGGAGCGTGCTGTGTCAAATGCCCTTCCTTTTGCATATCGCACTGAGGTGTTTGCAGGCACCCGGGCCTGGGACGAGCTTGGACTTAGGCGCGAACAAAGAACGAAAAGGACCAGAGAAACCGCAGGCGATGGACTGAAGGACATCCGAAAGCCACCAACTGTCCGTAGGTCCTCTCCCGCTTTGCCAGAGAGGGTTTACCCATGTTTCCGGTCTTTGTTCCAGGGTGATCACCTAGGTGTTGAGTTTGCGCTGCAAAGCCATGCTGTCCTGTTGGAGGGTTGTGGACTTTTGGATTCCTCTACCCGAATTCTTGGCCACCATGGATTTCCGCCTGGCCCTCACTGGGATGCTTTGGTGATCGATGACTATTTTGCCTTGAGTTGCGAGCCACTGTCATGCCATGATTCCAAAACTTTTGCCATGTCTGCTCTTGGTCGTGCCCGGAGTATCTATGACAGAGAGGGGCTCTTAGGGTCTGATGAGAAAGATGTGGTTGCCCAAAGCACTGTGAAGGCTGCGGGGGCTGAAATCCGATCAAGCCCTAAGAATGTACGGTCTGGGGTCGTCCCTGTAGGTGCTCCTTTTGGAAAGCGTCTGGCCTTGGCCGTCTTGTCACTGCGGGCTAGTCGGCTCCCTGGAATTTCGCCTCGCCTCTCATCTCGCCTTGCGGGTTGTTGGGTCTCCGTGTTGCAGTACCGAAAGTGCTGGTCGAGCCTTGTGGATTCCCTGTTTGGTCTGGTCGCTCTGGGTGAAGAAAGTGGTGAGAATAACATCAGGTGCCTGCCCAGAAAAGTTGCCCAAGAACTCTCCACCATGGCCGCTGCCGCTCCGCTGATGTTCACAAACATAGCTGTTGACTACCATGACAGGATTTTTGCCACCGATGCGTCAGTGCAAAAAGGGGCGGTTGTCTCGGCTGCGATTGAACCTGCACTGACCGAAAAGATATGGCTGGGTTCCGACAAGAAAGGAGCCTACACTCACCTGAGCAACGGTTTTCATGCGCTTCTGAGGCAAATTGGTGAAGTTGATGATGATTGCGATGTTCCAGGGCCCACAGGAACTTATGTTTCGCCTGAGAAACCCCTACTGCTGTATTTTGATTTTGTCGAGATCTGTGGGGGGGCTGGAAAGGTCTCAGATGCCATGGCGAAGAAAGGTTGGACTGTTGCCCCCGTTCTGGACCTGTCGGACAGCCGTCATTATGACTTGGGTTCATTGAGATTTCTTGAGTGGATTATGCACATGTTGGAAGAAGACCGATTCAGAAGTTTTCTGGTTGAACCTCCTTGTACCACCTTCTCTCCTGCTGCCCACCCAGCTGTCAGGTCCTACAACGAGCCACTTGGATTTGATCGGCAAAACCCGAAGACGCTTCTTGGTAATGTCCTGGCTTTCAGGTCCCTTGTACTGCTGAGGGTTGCGAGGCGCTTCCATAGGCCATGTGGACTGGAGCAGAGTCGGCTAAGCAAAATGGCCTGGCTGGCCGCATGGAGAAGTCTGCTGCTCTTAGGTTTTCGAGAAGCGGTTATTGCCAGCTGCATGTTCGGTTCCCCACACCGAAAGGAGTTCCGTTTGCTTTGTCACATGCTAGACGTGGACTTTCTCGATGTCAGGTGTTGTGGAGGTCATGAGCATGTGCAGATTCAGGGTCAGCTGACAAAGCCTTCTGCGGTTTATGTTGATGGGGTTGCAGACCACCTGGCCAATGCTTTTCACAATGCCTTGGTAGGCCTGAACGCAGAGAGGGATCTGCAGCCGGAGGTTGAGGGTTTCGAGTCCCCTGTTATCAATGACTTAGCCTTGTCTTCCCGGTGGTCCGTTGTCAGAGCCTGGTTTTGGAAAAGAAAGGGTCACATCAATGTCTTGGAGTTGGGGTCTGCCGTGTCAAACCTTCAGTCTCTGTGCCAGGAGCATTCCTCCATTCGGTTCTCTTCCCTGGTTGATTCTGCTGTCTGTCGTGGAGCCCTGACAAAAGGAAGATCTGCTTCCCGAGCTCTCCAGCCTGGTCTCAAGCGAGCTGGAGCCCTGTGCATCGCCGCGGACCTGTATCCCTGTTGGAACTTCTGCCCGACGCGCCTCAACACTGCCGATGATCCTACTCGGTCTGTGAGCTTGCGGACTCCTATGGATTTCTCTCTGTGTGGTTTATTGAGTGAGGCTGGTCAGCGCCTGTTAGTTCCGGGTTTTCTCCGTCGTCATGCTGCAAATTGGGTGCGCCTGACTCTGTGCCTTGTCCTTTTGGATTTAGGAGCTGGTGTTTCCTGTGATGGACCCCCACCTGATGCAACAGCCACCCCTGTGGCTCAAAGGAGAACTTCCAGTATGTCTCCACTTGGACTGCCTGAGTGCCAATGGATTTTCGCTCTCCTTCGGTGTCTTGGGGTTTGGAGCCTCTTTTTCCTTGTTGGTTTCCTGGCTTGGGCTTTCGTGTTTTGGGTCTTCTGGTCTCAACGGTCCCTGCCTCGACAAGGTTGGTATCCCTCCAAGGTCAGGCTCGGTTTGTTCATTGCCATGGTCTTCTGCTGCTGTGACGCTGTTTCTGGAATGCCTTTGGCTGCTCAATCACCAGCTGAAAGGCTCAGGGCCCAGATGCGAAGTGATGCGCTGCTCTTTTCAACAAGAGCAGTGAAACCAAAGACAAGAGAGCAACGTGAGATCTATCTGGAGCGCTTCAGGGCATGGCTTTGGAAGGAAAAGGGGCTCTCTTTCAAGTTCCTGATTGAACAGAAACCAGCAGACCCTGAACGAATTGCATCTCTACTGGTCGAGTATGGCAGGGAGCTTTTTCATGCCGGAAAAGCTTACGGGATCTATTCTGAAACGATAAATGCTGTGGCGGTTCAGAGACCTTTGATCAGGAAACAACTGACTCAGGCATGGGATCTAGCATTCGCTTGGCTGGCAGATGAACCACATGTGCACCATCCAGCATTGCCTTTGTCGGTCATGTGTGGTTTGGTGACAGTCGCTTTGACCTGGGGCTGGCCTTATGAAGCAGCCATTATCATGCTCACTTGGGCGGGGCTGCTGAGGATCGGCGAGGTCCTTTCAGCTTTTCGAAAGGACCTCATCTTACCACTTGACGCGGCACCTGGCACCTCCTTCATGCTCCTGGTCATCAGGGCTCCGAAGACACGGGGCAGGTCAGCGAAACATCAAGCGGCTCGAGTCGATCAAACGGACATCATACGATATCTGACAGCGATGTATGGAAAATCCCCAAAAGATACAAAACTCTGGCCATTCTCAGCATCGACGTTGCGAAAACGTTTCCAGAAACTGCTTGCGGCGCTGCACCTGCCAACAACCAAAACCACCACCTGTAGGCCTTTTGACTTGGGCTCTCTCAGGCCCGGAGGAGCCACGTGGTTGTTGCATCAAGTCGAAGATGCTGCTTTGGTGCAACGAAGAGGCAGGTGGCTGAGTGGAAGAGTCATGGAGATTTACCTGCAGGAGTCTTTTGTGTCGACGTTCATCAGAGGCCTGGATCCGAAGACTCGCACGCGGATTGAGTTATGCTCAGGAGCTTTTGCCACTACGCTGGAACGTGCCATCAGCTTTTTGGACAGTGGCATCCCTCCTGGAGCTTGGTTTTCCCTCTACAAAATGACAGCTAGAGCTCCTGAGAAGATGTTCGAAAGCATGGGGTAATGGGTTGAATTTTTGGTCAGATGTCAAACAACTACCTGACACTGACATGATGCACCTCTTTGCATTGCAGCAAAATGGCCGCGCTTTCCTGACTTCAGGAAATTAAATGCCATTGATGCATTGCTCAAGCTGCCCACCCGGCCCAAAGCCTTGGGCTGTCATTTTGCAGGGTTGAATTTTTGGTCAGATGTCAAACAGCTACCTGACACTGACATGATGCACCTCTTTGCATTGCAGCAAAATGGCCGCGCTTTCCTATATAATTAGTTAAGTTATATTCCATGTTAGGTAAGTCAATATATCATACATGAATATATTACATATATATATATATATTACATATATATATATATATATGTAATATATATATATGTAATATATATATATGTAATATATATATATATATTAACATATTCCTTTCATATGCCCATCAAAAAGCAATGTCTTTCTCACCACCAACAGCAACGGTTTTTCGGCAACGCGCAGAACACTTGGGGCTGAACAGCGCGATGATCTTCACCTTCAACTTCATGGCCATCGTCCCCTTGGCCAGTGCCGCGGCAGCGAATGTCGCCTTTGGATGTCTGGATTTACGCAGTGGATCTGGATTTAGTTGCTATATTTAGTTTGGGATTTGGGACTATGCAACCCTAGAAATATGGTATTTTATATCATTTGTTGAACAAGACTCGTTTTTTTTTGCGTGAGTGTGTAGAACCAGGAGGTACTGGAAATGCTGGGTAAACTGACTGCAGGGTTGTTTTGCCACCAGAACGAAGGGGGGGAATGAAATGCTTAGCTCAAACTGGACTTTCTGCAGAGAATCCATCTGCGGACGCGAGCCATGCTTTAGAACGGCTAAAGTGCAGTTGGCGAATGGATCAATAGCTTGATATGGCCATTTTCCATGTGGATGATACATGATGACACTATCTCATAAAGCAAGAGAGCTGGGAATGTGGGATTGTTTTTTTTTTTTAATTCAGATATCTTCCATTCTACGAAAACACATGGGTGCAAAGTAGTTTCTGAATTGTTGAGCAGCTCAGGGGCTTTCTAGTCAGCAGCAAATGCCACGTTGAAGGAATGGTGAACAGTGAACTCTGTAGAATCAATGCTGCCTATTCTGCAGGAATGCTGTTGTTGAAAAAAAAACACTCTGCAGTTTTGTAAGAAATACAACACTTTTGCAAGGAATCCTTTTTGAATGACAACTGCTGCTATTGAACAGATGTTAACAGTATGTAAGTTTGATTGCTTTAAACACAGAACTTTACTACATTTTGGAAGAAGGAACGATGTGTTCCAAAAACCAAACGGAAATAGGCATGCGTAGGGTTGGCTATTGATGAGAATGGTGGTAGTGGGCTTATGTACAAGCAGGGCATTTTGGAAGCTGCAACTTTTCACCCCAGAATCTACGAGCTATGATGGCACAATGGCACGCCCTTGGTTTCGGCCGAAATTTGGTAAAAAAAACTGTACCACTGGACGATTCGTAACCTGGTTGATGATTATAAGTGAGTACAGTTTTTATGGTGATTATAAGTAGCTTATGTTACTTATTATTGGTTGATGATTATAATGATTACAATAACATGATTATAAGTAGCTTATGGTGATTATGACCCCCCAATCAATGTACTCAATAAATCTGAGATAGCCTTTCGCAACCCTTAAGAAGCCTGGTGCCATGGTTTTTACATCAAACCATGGCTGTTGAATGTTGTAGTTCCATTATATAACAGGATAACCTACCTGTTACACATGAGTTATACCCTCCAGTTTGTTTAACACGGATATTGACACCTCACCATGCGTAGTTCAATTTTCCGAATGGGAAGGAATGGGCTTTCCATATCTACGTCATTTTTTTCTGGCGGCAAAGTTATAACTAACCTTGCTGGGTTAAAGGTCACAACCCACATCCATCCAAGCCCAATGATACATGGGATCATCCTCAGTTCTCGGTCAGGCATTTTAGGCGCTGCCACTGAATCCATGGCGTCCCACACGGGAGAGATGATTGGAGGAGTTCTTTGCATGGCTTTCATGGATATTTTCCAGAACATGTCCAGATTTTCCCTGGAAGAATCAATGAAAACTACCCTCTGGTAAACTAACAGTTTGCTATTGAAAATGACCATTTATAGTGGATTTTCCCATTAAAAATGGTGATTTCCCATAGTTATGTTAGTTTACCAGAGGGTATATATTGATTGCCATGAAATGCTCCGATTCACGCAATGTTGCTGGACACATCCTTCTTTTGTGCGATCGCAATAGACTTGTCTGCGGCTAGAAGGGAAAGCCGGGCAACGTGATCCATGACCCGCAAAAAAGTCGGATCAAGTCCCTTTCCCATTTCACTAGGCAAAAACTCGTGGGTTTGGTAAACAACATATATCCATTTATGACACCATTGAACATAGCTACACTTCAGTAATCCACCATGGCAATCGAAGATTTTGGTTCAGGACTCCTGAATGCGACCTTGGGCAACGCCGTTGCACCTCGGCGTCAACGCACTGGTCTGGTTTCCCGGGTGACCAAGAAAGGCCGTACCGGTGTCACAGAGGCCCTAGGTATGGCATTCCAAGTGATGCCGTTGTTAAACCCCACTGTAGACATCCCCAATTTTTGATGTGTGGCTCTGTTTTTTTTGTGTGCACTCAGACGCTTCTTTTTTTTGCTTAAAAAAGGTCGGTTTAAAACAAGGCTAGGTGAGACCACCCATCAGAGGGGGCCTTCTTTGTGGAGACCTAAGGAGATGATTATGTGCATGCAGGTGCCTCTGAAAAAGGGCAGGGAGCTGGGCGCCAGTGACTACTGTTTATTTTTTGGTAAAGCAACGATTCGATGGTGATCAAACTTGGGGTACTCAGAGCGCTGGATGCGTGATTTCAGACCCCAAAAAAGATCAGAATCTGAAAAAAAGGTATGGGTCTTTAGTTACTAAAGCCACACCCATATATCATATATATATAATCTATTATATAATGTCTTTCTGTTGGTGAAGATGATGAGAATGGTTGAGTGTGGTGGATCTGTTCGGGGTCAGTTGTAATATCCAATGGGATTCGAACGTAGACCTACCCTCTGGTACTTCAACATAACCATGAAAAATGACCCATGAAAGTAGGTGATTTACCTATATACTATGTATATATTATGTATATATATATACACATTATTTCATGGCCATGGCCTCCATGGCTAGGTGAAATTACCAGGCACTCATCCACCGGAAGTCTTTTTGCATGTTGGATGCGCCAAAGCATCAACTGAATCATTTTTCGCCACATTTACCAAAGAGCCACCAGTTTTTGTGGCTGGTTTCCAGATGATTTTGTCAATTGGTTCTTGGATTTTGTAGCTGGCAATCGTATGACATGAAACTGAGCGGATCGGTGCGAAGCTGCGAAGCTCGTCTGGAATCAGTTGGTGTCCCTGCTCCATCATGCCAGTTGCGTGGATTTTTTGCTGGCTGTGCCACTCAATTTTTGTTGTTTTCAGCACGATTTTTGCTCTCCAGCAATCCAACTGGGTAAAGGAAGAATACACTTTTACAGATGATTTCATCGACCCTGTCTTCATGATCTATAATGTATATCCAGGATTACAAAATACACCCAGTTGATAAAAATAGGGGGTATCACAAAATTTGGCTCTTCATTTATGCCTACTATTCATTAGGGCCCCCTTTTTTTCGCTTCGCAGGCGGTCAAAGCTGGATTGGTAGAAGTGGTGCAGGGCAACTTGCAGCTTGGATCAATGTGATCAAAGACGAGGGATGACATCAGCAGATCATCCCCAAACTATTTTGTTGATGTATTTGAAAGGGATTCGATTGAAACTAGCTTCTCCGCTAATTTTGGGTTTCTGCGATGTATAATGTGAAACTCCGTTTCTTTGGGTGTTGGAGAAGGAAAGAATGTATATAGGGACAATTCAACCTACTTGGCAGCAGAGGACACGGACATTTGCTGGTAATGTCTCTGCAAGAGCTGTGGGTGATAACCAAGAAGGACAAAAATGCAAGAGACAGAACAGCGAGCATGACCGGGGGGTCATGGTCAATCACATCATATGTAGGATGAATTTCAATTGTATTTTAACCTCATTCTCCAATTCTGCTCTATATAGTACATACTACCGGTATATAGAAGTTTTCATCCATTGATTCTTATCATTTCCGGCTACATCACTCTTGTTTTTCACGGAAGAGGTGTTTTCGAAACATTGGGTGGCAAAGAATTCTTCAAGAAGATAGGCAAACACATCTCCAACTAAAATTTGCCAGTGTCCCAATGACGCAACCCGTGGCCTTTAAGTTGTAGCCAAAGGTTGACACCTTCATCATAACTTTGAGACAATCAGCCGACCTACATTTGAGACTTACAAAGTAGCAAGGGAGCCTTCTGTGAAACATAAATTTATTAATGTGTTTTTTTTTTTTTTTACGATTTCAATATGAGGAATTTTATGATTGGTTTTTTTAATGTTTTTTTTTTGTTTCATGTTTTTTTTTTAATGATTGAATTTATGATGACATTTATGATTTCTGGACCGCTTGGGCCCGGGAGCACCCGGTCCTCGGAATCATAAAAATTCATATTTTTTTCATACACAAAAACATTTTTTTTTCATAAACATATCATAAAATTTTCATTAAAAAACTAGCAATTTAATTAAGAAAAACATAACATTTTCATAAAACAAATAAGCAATTCACTACAAAATCATATCATTTTTGATTTTTTGATGTTTCTTCTTACCCGTTCAAATTCATTAAAACACAAATAACATAGAATTGTCATTGAAAAAAACATTAAATTTTCATAAAACAAATCATAAAAGTTGCATTAAAAATATATGTAAAAAACATGAGAAAACATGAACAACATATAAAATAGTAATATATAATCTTTTTGTTTTTTTGATGTTTTTTCTTACTCGTTCAAATTCATAAAACAATGGTAACAAATCATTCAAAAACATAGAGTTTTCATAAAACAAATCATAAAAGTTTCATTTAAGACACATTTAAAAAAACATAAAAAACATAATAAACAAATCATACAATTTTCATAAGAATAATCATAAACTGTCGATTTTTTGATGATTTTTCTTACCATTTCAAATTCATAAAAAACATAATAAAACATAAACATTTCGTAAAAAATCATTAAACAATCACAAAAACACATAAAACAATGACACACACAAATCATAAAAAGCATTTAAACCATATTTTTTTTAAAAATATTATTTAGTTTTATTCTGATTTAAATATATATATATAATATTTAAATGTTTTTTAAAAAATGATTTCGAGAACTGGACTCTCCCGGGCCCAAGCGGTCCAGAAATCATAAATTTCGTCATTAAAGAATCATAAATTCAATCATTAAAAAACCTAAAACATCATATCTGACAATTTGCCGTTTTTTTCCGACATAGTGAAATCATTAAAACAACATAAACAAAGATCATAAATAGAATTATTTATATAATTCTTGTTTTAGCTTACTTTCAAGGTCTCAAACCTACATTTAGGTCCCTTTGTCTCAGAACCCCCAAATCGATGCCGAAAATAACTATTTCTCACTATTTCATGGTATTTTCGCAGCTTTTAGATGATTTTTCCCACCCATAACCATTTAGAATCAACATTTATAGAGGATTTTCCATGATTTTCCGACCAAAACCTCCATTTTTGCTTGGGATTCTCCAGGCATTTTTCGTGTCAACGCACCAAGCCTCGAGGTTAGGCTCTGTGCTGTCCAACTTGCTGCTGGTCCTGGGGATGGCCATTTTCTGTGCCTTGGATGCAGGCTGCGGCCCAAGTTGTGGCAGGTTGTGGCTGGTTGATAGCCTTTGGTAAACTAACAGTTTGCTATTGGAAAATGGTCCATTTATAGTGGATTTTCCCATTAAAAATCACCATTTATAGTGGAAAATCACCATTTTCAATGGGAAAATCCACTATAAATGGTGATTTTCCATAGTTATGTTAAATTACCGGAGGGTACATCCCAAGAATGGTGCACTCTGACTTGATGACGTTTATGGCATTGGGTGAATCCCACATTAAAGTTTGCTTTCGCACACCTGGCCGCAACGTTCGCCCACAGAACTTTGTGGTTTCAAAGAATATTGATTCAAGGGAATCTTAAAGATGTTTCAAAAGAGTTTCTAGGGAATCATCAAACCCCCACCACCGTTAAAGTTTATATTCACAGGAATTTGCAAGGAGTTTACGTTTTAGGGTTTAGGGTTGATGATGCTGTTGATGATGATGATGATGATGAAGAAGAAGGAAAAGAATAAGAAGAAAATCATGATGATGTTGCAGAATTCAACACACAGGTTGCTAAGCTGTGCGTTGCAAGATGAAAGCCACGATCATGGACATGTGCATTTTGTCCCACAAAACACAGTGTTTTTTGATGTTCGGACACGTCGTGGACGTCGGATAGTACAGTAAAAAGTACAGTAATTGATTCAAAAACAGGAGATGAGATGATGATTTTCCCGAGAAATGGATCACATCACAAGTGATCAAGATGATGATCTGAGTGATAAAACTCGGCGCCGCATGGCGCCGCGCACATGATGAAAGAAGGGAGCACCCCTCGACCTGAGCGTGCCTTCACTGCTTTGAGGTGCTGGCTTGAAATTTCACAACCGGCAGTTCAACGCCGTAGGTTCGGGAAGTTGTGGGGAGTGGGAGCGACTTTGCACTGGTGATACTGCTGGGAATCTACAAAAAGGTGGGAGATATTAGGGTGCTCATTCTTAAGGTCTCCTTGGACCCTGAGTTTTAGGCCATAAATATCCATAAATATGGATTGGAGATGAACTTTGTACCTTGAAGTTCTTCAGTTGACTGCTGGCTGATTCACATGTTCTTCAGTTGGATTTCAAAATTTATCGTGGCTCGCTGTTTTAATTCTGTGCGATTCTGTTCGAAAGTGAAACAAGGCGGTGCAAACCTACTTAGCTAAGTTGGTTTATAAGTAGTTGAACGATTGGGTTTCTGGTAGATTCTGGTAAATGTATCCATCGTTAGATAGATAGCTTAGAAACCATATTACTGCAAGGCACAACCTCGAACAAGCCCCGGGCCCCTAGCTATCCTCAGGTGCTGCTGCGAACATGTCCTGCCTGGTGGTGGCCTCCATTAGCAGCTGATTCTAGAAATGTTGGGTTGTCAGGGAAATTTTGGCACCAGAAATAGGGAATTTAGATGGATTTTCCTGTATTTTTAGAAGTATATTGATACCATTTTAATGGGAAGATGGAGGTAGTCAGTGAACATGAAGAGTTTAGATAAAGATGTGGTCGATTGTAGTCTGCAGTACTCCAGTGATATATATATATAAGCGTCAAAAAGGGGATGAGTTAAGCAGCAAAAGCTGAGAATTTAGATCTGCGGAGATTCACAGGGCAAAATTGGGATGTGCCACCAGCAAAAAGTGGGATATTCCACCAGCAAAGACTTGGATGGGAATTCCACCAGCAAACACAAAGGGGAATTTCACCAGCACCCGTAAGACATGCAGATGGACTGGGCAATGTTTTGATTCGTAGCCGTCATACCCGTTTTTTCCACTGCGCATACACCTGGGATATCACCAAAGATGAGAATGTATGTACCCTCTGGTAATTTAACATAGCTATTGAAAATGGCAATTTCTAGTGAGTTTTCCCACTAAAAATGGTGATTTTCCATAGCTATGTTAGTTTACCAGAGGGTAACTCCATCTGAAACCATCTTTTTACATTTCCATTTGGGAAGCTTAACATCTGTGGCCATCTAGCTATCCAAGCCGCGAACTTGGAAGTACGGAAGATACGATCCATTGACTTAAGGGAAAATCAAAGAAAACCATGGTTTGCTCCGAAACATCGGGTTTTTCTGATGGAATCCTGCCCTACGCACACACACACATATATATATATGTATGTATGTATGTATATATGTGTATATATATATATGTATGTATATATCAGTGTAAGTATGTATAGATAGATAGATAGATAGATAGATAGATAGATAGATAGATAGATAGATAGATAGATAGATAGATAGATAGATAGATAGATAGATAGATAGATAGATAGATAGATAGATACATAGATAGATAGATACATAGATACATAGATACATAGATAGATGGATAGATTAGATAGATGGATGGATGGATGCATGGATGGATGGATGGATGGACAGACAGATAGACAGATAGATAGGATTAGATAGGATTAGATAGGATTAGATAGGATTGGAAAGGATGAGATAGGATTAGATAGGATTAGATAGGATTAGATAGGATTGGAAAGGATGAGATAGGATTAGATAGGATTAGATAGGATTGGATAGGATTAGATAGGATTAGATAGGATTAGATAGGATTAGATAGGATTAGATAGGATTAGATAGGATTAGATAGGATTAGATAGCCAGGATTAGATAGACATGATTAGACAGACAGACAGACAGACGGACAGACAGACAGACAGAGACAGACAGTCAGATAGATAGATAAATAGATGGATAGATAGATAGATAGATGGATGGATGGATGGATGGATAGAGAGAGATAGATAGATAGATAGATAGATAGATAGATAGATAGATAGATAGATAGATAGATAGATAGATGGGAAACACCAAACCCAAACAGCTGCGACCGCCCCCAACGGTTTCCCCTTGGCCAAGGTATTTGCCTGCCAACTCTCTTCGGCCAGATTGCCGACACAGGTGTGCGGGGTGCACCTTTTGAGTATGGCTAGAACATACCCACTCCGTGATGGAATAAAGCCACATTTGGGCAAACCCAAATGATATTCTTGACAAGAGATATTCCATTATATATCACTATATCTCACTAAATCCCAATATATGTCCTTGTTCGATCACATTTTCGATAGCAAATCCCAGTTTTTTTCCCTCTTGGTTTGCGAAGGTGATGAAGTTCTCATGATATCGCGACTTTGCTCCCTGTTCCTCTCCTTGGTGTGACTGGGTGGCACCATCCTTGAGGTGGAACACAATGACAGTCGGAGAATCAAGGACATGTTATAGGCGTGAAAGAACTAAAGCAGAGATATAGGGACGTAAGCCCATCCATGGAAATAGTATTGTTTGAGAATTAGATACATAAATAAATGAATGGACAAATACATAGATAGATAAGTAGACATGTCCGAAAACTAAAGAGGATACCCCCCGGATAATTTTCCAAAAAACAACAAACAGGATATGGGGGTTTCCATGTCGTCATGGGGGTACTTCCAAATCGATGGTTTTTTTCATGGAAAATACCACTTACTAAAATGGATGAGGACTGGGGGTAGTCCTATTTTAGGAAGCCTCCATATGTTCAATTATTTGTATATACCGTACCCCCCTTTGGAATATCCCTCTGGGTGGACAAAAAAGATCAAAAAAGTAACCCCGCTGGCCAACACCATAGACGATCTTGCAGCGCAGATGTCATGTAATTCCACATTCAATAAACCCAAGTTGATATGGTCCCTGGTACCCCCAAAAAATATGAGACATCCCAGATCTTACATTGTTTTATGTTGCATATATATACATATGTATATATATATATTTATGTACATTATATATATATATATATATTTATGTACATTATATATATATATATATTTATGTACATTATATATATATATATTTATGTACATTATATATATATATATTATGTACATTATATATATATATATTATACATATGTAGATATATATATATTATACATATGTATATATATATACACATGTCTCCCTCTATATTTGCATGATATATACACATATGTTCACCCTCCTTTATTTACATGTAACCTCCAAGATCCCCGATGATCTTCCACTTTTTTTTTGCTGAGGTACTTTCTCTTTCTCTACTTCCAGCTGGGGACCCACGCCTACCTCTTTGTGGATGAAGCTGAGGGCGAGGCAAGGTTGATTGGTTGATCGGGTATGACGGGAATTTTACCATTTGGGCGATTGAGATAGACTATAACTTATATAAAAAGATATGACTTTATGATCTCCAAACACACTTTTTGGATGTTGTTGGATTGGGAAATGTTTCCCGTTTTTTTTTCATGTCGGAGCTCGGTCGTCAAGATGAATGCACACAGAGGCTGAAGATTCTCTTGGACAAAGCAAAAATTCAGGTTTCGGGAGCCCAAAACTTTTTTAGCCGCTTCTATTGTTTCAATAGATTTGTCTTTCCTGATGTGCAAAGAGGATGCACCCAGTTTTTTGTCCAAATTGGCTTCACTCATGTCACTGCAAACCATGGCCACCCAAGGCATGTTGAGGGCCCCAATTGCAGGTTGAGACCTGGTCCTTGGTCATTAGATCACCATAGGTGGGTCCATGGCCTCATAGTTGTTGGTTAATAGCACATTTTTTTTTCCTCTTTTTGGTCAGTAAGATATGGGGTTTCCCAAAGTCATGGGGGTACCCAGCAAAAATCGATGGTTTCTAATGTTATGAAAATCTTACCAGCAAACTCTGAGGGTTGTTGGTTATTTATTTTTGTCATTTTTTTGTCATTTTTTTGTCATTTGGTTTTGCATTTGTTTGTCATTCCTGTTTTGTGGTGTCATTTTTTTGTCATTTTTTTGTCATTTGTTAAGTCATTGTTTTGTCATTTGTTAAGTCATTTTTTTGTCATTTTCTTGTCATTTTTTTGTCGTTTTCTTGTCGTTTTCTACTTTCTAGCATTGTTCATTTTCTTGTCGTTTTCTCATAAGGATCAGGCAAGCGGTGAAGGTGGCAAACCCGGTCTAGGAAATGCAAAAAATTGCAAAAAATGACTCCCGGTTTGGGAAATGCAAAAAAAATGCCAAAAAAATGACTCCCAGTCTGGGAAATGCAAAAAAAATGCAAAAAAAATGACTCCTAGTCTGGGAAATGCAAAAAAAATGCAAAAAAAATGCAAAAAAAATGAAATCCTATCAAGATGGATGATTTAGTACCCCATTTTTGGAAACCTCTATATTCATGTTTGATGGGTACACACCCGTTCTTGCCAGAACGTCCCAAGTCTTATTTTTTTGAAATCTCCGTTCTGATCCTTGGTCCAATCAGCAGTCTTTGTTGGTAAAACTACCGACATTTTCGGTAAAACTTCATGCTTTCGCAATTTTCAGGAATAACCATCACCTTTCAATATCAGCTGTAGTGGTTCTTGGTTGCCATCTGGGCATCACTTGGCACCAGGAAGAGGAGGAAGCCCATCTTTCAGTCATGGGCTCTGGCATTTTGCTGATCCTCTGCACTCTGGTGGTTGCAGGCGGGGCTCTGAAATTTTGGGGGAGCGGAGCTTCACGCATCGCGGTTGGTCACGGTTAAAAGCGACCTGGCTTGGTGGCTTGATCGGTTGACCCATCTATACTACATAAACTACTTACTCTGGTTGGTGGTTTGGAACATGGCTTTTAATTTTCCCATCATATTGGGAATGTCATCATCCCAACTGACTGATATTTTTAAGAGGGGTAGGTCAACCACCAAGCAGTACCAATTGAGAGACTTTTCTGCAGTCGGGTGAAATTTCCCAGATGGGTCCACTGGACCCACAGATGCAAGTTCAGCAACGTGCGACCCACCCAACAATATTTATTTCTTCTCATCATTTTTTGCAGTTCATAAATAGGTAAGTCGGCAATAATCATATCATGGTCAACTTAAATATGGGATATATGATATATATATATATATGAACTGGTGTCATGATTGGATTGTAGCAACAAATATAGTGGTAAAACCAACAATAAGCCGTCCCCCAAAATCACCAGAAATGGGTGCTACAAAGCCTTCAGAATCGGAGGCTTGTTCTTGGCCCATGTTGACTAGCCATGCCATGCCTGGACCAGGGGGCGCAGTGTTGGGCTTAGTAGCGACCCTGGTTCCATGGTAACCATGGTACTAAGCCCCATAAGTTGGGATATAACTCCGAGAACTATGGGTATATGCCAGTCATAGCTGAAACTTCACCCCCAAGTTGCCAAGTAGACCAATAGAACATCCTGCTGATATGGGCCGTGCTCGGGACCCCTAAGGGGACGGGTTTCGGAAAGTCCCAACAAACAAAAAATCGCAGCCCCAAAAGGTGAAAAAGTGTTGGTTGATTCCCAGTGGTTTTTGCCTTAGGTTTTTCTGTTAAAAATGTAGCCATCCGTTTTTTCGTGTTTACCCAATTGAATGGTCCCCAGAGGGTTTTTTTTCCACGCTTCTGGTGATGTATTCATTGTGGGTTGATCAGTCGCTGTATTTCTTGCGTCGCAACCTCCATTTTGCTTCGTCAATATGGGCATGAGTCAAAACCCTCTGGTGAAAGTCCCTAAGATCACTCAAAATAGATCATGGCTACTGTATCTTTGGATGTTCAGCGGCTATTTGGTTTTGACTCATACACAATATCATCTAACCGTTGGCATTATTATCACTATCATTTTGATTGTCATCATTCCTATATTTAAGATTTATAGTTCTCCTGGAGTGGATAGAACATGGTACTTTCAAGAATATCACTATTCCAACCTGGGAATTGAAACATCCATATTCTATCTACTTCAGGATGATATATATCATATATAAATACATTTTTTTTTTACATATATTGATTATCAAATTATGAGATGGGATAAATAATGATATTCAATATTTCATATATCCATAGATTATGTAATCATATTTTTTTATTATATTGAAGTACATATCTCATTATTTATCCTCAAAACATATTTTCTCTTCTTGATTCAATCCCAGAATTTCTGCCTGTGACTTGGGTCTAGACAGACCAAAGATCTACGAGTTTAATTATAAGACCTATATGGATCCATATTCCATTTTTTTAATCTATCAATCCAGTAAAAATAATATATATATATATTAAACAGCTATAGTTATAGTGTCAATCAAAAACCTATAGAAAAATACATAGTTTCAATAGCTGGTTACCAGCTGGATGGTTTTTTTCATCCCCCATTGGCGAAGGGACACCCTCCGCGCCTCCGAGCCTCCATGGCGAAGGCTGTTCGGAAAACCTGGTGGACTCCATCGAAGGCGTCTCCACCAAGTTCGGCCTTCCGAAGGTCGGATCGAGAAAAAGGCGGTGCCGTAACGATGGAATTTTTGTGAACGATAACTATAGTTGGTATAACTATATATATATATATAACTATACAACTATATAACTATAGTTGGTATACTATTGTAACTATAGTTGGTATAATTTATCTGCTAAGCCTAGTTATAACATGTTATATAACGATATATATATATATATATATTGTGAACTGTGGTTATAACTACTGTTTTCGATCGTTATAACTATTATCAACCCTAGTTAACCTACTTGTGTTGACCAACTGAGCGAACGAACTGGGGCACCGACAGTAAGCCTCCCTGGTTACACCTCGGTGTCTTCTCTTCATCAAGCCCAGCCGGCTGGGGCGACTCGGTATGTGGAGATTTTTCACTTTTTCAGCATTTTGATTCACCTGAAATCATGGTGGGATCCTTGGGAATTCAGATGATGATGGACATTCTCCAACTGTTTTTCAACGGTTTGGGAACCAACTGGTGACCGAAAAGGTACTGTAGGTGGAGGTTTTTTGGTGCTGGTTTTTCGACCTGGATGGATGAAGTCTGGGCAGATAAATCCTCAAGTTCTTTGGGGTAGAGAGGGAATCATGTGTGACTCAGGAATTATATACTTTATATTCTAATCACGTGATTAGCAGAGAACAATTGCATGTTATCAATTAGAATATTAGAGCAGAATATGTATCTTGTGGGGGTGCAATTAATAATTCATCCCTGAAGGATTTTATACCTACCCTCCAGTAATCAACTGTGGCTAGCTGGAAATTTGCCGAACTAAATGAATGCTTTAATTCTGAGCATCAACGAAGTGAATGAAGGATTTTCCAGCTGGTCAAGCTGATTAGCAGAGGGTATATGGAGGTTTCCAGCTAGTCATTATTTGGGTACCCCGAAGTCATTTATAGATTTTATAGCTGGATTTTCCATGAAATAAACCATCCGTAAATAGGGGATCTCCCATGGAAATCATGAAAAAGCGGCCAGGCCTTTATCGGTGTGATCTTGCTGCCCATCGTTGGCAACGCTGCAGAGCATGCCACTGCAGTCACCAGCGCCTATCGAGGGAGCCTCGGCGTTAAGGGGGGAAAAAAGCAGATTTTAAATGGTCTAGGAAGAGTGAACCATACCTATTTTTGAAGTGTTTTTGTTGGTATCTTGAAGGTGAAGCACATAGACAAGCATTGAAAACCAAGGCAAATGCCCTTTTGCAACAAGAATTCTTTTTGGAAGAATTTCACGAGATTTCACCAGATTTCACGAGATTTCATGAGATTTCACGAGATTTCACGAGATTTCACCCTTTTTGGAGCATGCGGAGGATTCCTCGTTTTGGCTAGGAAATTGGACTTGGCCATTGGCGTCTCCGTGGGTTCCTCCACACAGATTGCTTTGTTCGTTGTGCCGGTGCCATGCCCGGGGAAGTGGTGAGCAGCGGCGGATTTGTCAACAGCCCTGTCGGTTGACGATGAAAAAGGAGACTTTGTGGTGATTTCACATGATGTAAGCATGATTTTTTGGGGTTTTAAGCATCAAACATCTGGGACTGACAAAGAATGGTTGGTTGATGATGAAATATAGGGGATTCTACTAACCAATACAGTGGGGAATTTCAGGTGTTTTTTTAATTGATGAGCATCCCATTTTCAGAAGTGACCCAATGACATGATCAGAAAAATGCTATATGTGAGACAGCATGTAGAAGAAATGATCATAGAGCAACTATGAAAAACTCATCATATTGTGATATCAATATATATCAATGATATCAATGATATCAATGATATAGAAATGGTCAGTGAAATGGCCAGTGGATCTTGTTGGTTGGATTGTCGAGTCCATGACATACCCAAGCTGGTCATGACATTCACAGGGCTAGCCATGGTTAAGCCATCGCCCTAATCGAAATAGATTCGGTTTACCTAGCTATAAAATGGATAAGGATTTTCCATGGCGAACTGTGAATGTCATAACCAGATGGTAAGTCATCTAGAAACATCTAGAAATGGAAGAAATGGAAGAAATGGAAGAAATGGAAGAAATGGTGGATTTCTGCCATGGCCTCATGGTGCCTTTACTATGTTTTACTCGTGAAGCGTGATGGGAAGCTCCTCCAGTCGCAGGTAGCTGTGCTCTCGGGCTGGTACTTTGGCACGCCGATGTCTTTGAACTTCCGTCTCTTCGACATGGCCTGCCAGATGTTGAGTGCTTCTCGGTTCTTCCGGTGGTTCTTCGGGTGATTTTTGGGCAGAAATCCATGGGGGCTGTAGCGACCCCTAGATCTCGGCCCCAATCTTTTGGGCCTGTTGCAATTCCTGTGTCTCATATATATATATATACTAATATATAATGTGTATATATATATATATGTATATATTAACATAGATTTAGATACATATATTATGTGTTGTATAGAATATGCTTATCTTACCTACAAAAGTATAGTATATACATGCATATCATCTTATATTGTACAGATGATATATATATATATAAAACATACATACATATATATATATATAATGTGTAGATACTTATTATATATGTATATCTTGACATGCCAAAAAAGGCTCACACTTCAGCTGTTTTGCAGCCACCGTTAGGTCTTCCTGGTATCTCAAGTCACGCAGCATGGCAACACCAACTGGCTCCATGGGGCCATGTTGGTCACCACCTACGTGCGCCGCTTCGGGCAGTGATGGGATTTTTGTCGTATTTCTTCTATAGATACAGTGTTGGAAAATAGATGACAGATTTCACTTTCATTTCATTTCCTGCGTCGAAAGGGTCGTACCCTTGCTGCAAAAACATGCATACAAATGATTTACAATTTTTGGAAGTCGGGCAGCCATGGAGCATCGTTGCGGATTTGAGAGCAAGCCTTTGCTGCCGCCGCAACATGTGTCCAGATCTTCCCTGTCAGCTAGATCGAGGATAAATACGGAAAATATGGCAGTTGACGGTGCTTTTCTTAAAGGCCAAGCCTCAGCCCAAGTTGGAAGCAATGGACACTTCTTTGAATCCAACAAAAACAATTCATAGCGGACTCTACTTTGAGGGTGTTGGAACTGGTGCATATCTTTCTGTCGAGCCAATATATGGTGCTACCGTTCTTCTCACGTAAGGTTGGTTGGATGCCGACAGCGGCTGCCTAGGGATGCCCCATATCAAACACAAGGCTAGCTGAAACATCCACCATTTCTTCGAAGATCCCAGTGAACCTGATGAGTACAGTACCCAGGGACTGGCACTGGGACTATTTGGTAGTATTCCATACCCATTTAGGGCGTTCTACTCATAATTTCCTGACAGATAGATATTTTTTCAATAGAAATTTCCATGATTTCGCCAGACATTCACTGCTAGGTACTGATCGCGATCATGACCTGGTTCATTCCCGCGACGCGGCTGATTGATCGTTTCCCCAATAGCTCCTGGAAGTTTTTTCTTTTTTTCCCCCAATGGGATCCCCAAAATGACAACGTAACGAGGTGCATTATGAAAATAAAAAGCCATTGTTGGGGGGTTCCCATGAGGGGTTGATCACCCCTTCCGTGAATGACAAACAAAGTCAGGGGGCTCGGTAATTCAGTTGGGAAATTCTGCTTAAAAACTTGAGGATGATCAGAAAATGGACAGCGGCCATTGTGATTGCAAGTCATTGTAAGTGAATCCGGTTCCTGCCGGATTCACTTCTAAGACTTTGTATGGGAGCTGCAATCATGGTCACGGCTACCTGGATACGTACCCTCCGCAAATCAAACATGGCTTGCCGGAAAATTCTCCATTTCTTCGATGATTTTCCCAACTACCAATAGAAACCTCCAGCTAGTAATTGGGAGTTTCCTAGTTGTAGTTGGGGAAATCATATAACTTCAATGGCCATTTCAGGAACCTAAATTGGAGGTACCTACCATACACAAGGCCTATATAAGGCCAGGGCCTATGTAAGGGAATATCCCCAGAAAATATGGCCTTATATGGTACAGTACCTCCATTTTAGGATCCTGAAATTCCCATTGATAACTGGGAATTTCCTATTAGTGCCCAACTACTAAGAATGTAACTGGGGATTTCCCAGCGGCCCGTCACGTTACTGGGGGGCAACCCTTTGTTCACATGATCCATGCTTCCACCCAGGAACGAACGTGAGTCCCAGAGCCCTTTTGAGCTTGGCGTTGTGGATCGTGGTGGGCCAGGGTCGAGAGATTTCCGGCTCTCAATTTCTGGTTGAAGAATAGAAGCAACCAAAAGGTAGAGAATTGTGAATACACAATGATATACACATATGTATATATATATATAAATACATATACTCACATCATATATACAGTTAGCCAGCGGGAAAAAGGACTCAACGAAGCAGTTTTCGTCCAGAAATGTCCAGACCTTCCCCTGGTCCTTGCCCGCTCACAACACCGAAAAAAACGGCCTCGCAGTGGTGGCATGAAAACAGCTCAACCAGACATCAGTGCCTCTCCACCCGGAAATGGCTGGTGCTTCAATGGAGACACCACCAATTTTCACTAATGACGAGAGTGATGATGTGGACAGCAACAAATGATTTTTCATGTGGGTAAAACAATGCCCTAAACCACTCATGACTGGGAATGGTAACCATACCACCTATAAAAATGGTGATGACTGGGGGATGGTTTATGACATTGTTTTACCCACATTAATCGGGATATTTGTCGGGATAATATGTTAATCAACAGCATTCAACTAGGGTTTGTCTGAAAAAGTGTGGAACAACTCCATTGCATCCACTTAAACAAATCATCATTGTACCGTTTATTTAATGCCTGCTGGTTTCGGCAGTTGTACACTCCAGTAAACAAACATAGCCATGGAAAATGGTTATTCAGTTTGATGGTTACCTATTATCTTAATGGTGATTTTCGATGTACCAAAGTTAACAACGTTAATAATCACAAAGTTAATCACAAAGTTAATCACAAAGTTAATCACAAAGTTAATCACAAAGGTAATCACAAAGTTAACAAAGTTAATCACAAAGTTAATGGATTACCGATATTAATAATTACCAAAGTTAATCACAAAGTTAACAAAGTTAAGTGGACATATTACTGCAACTTTCTGAATGTAATTTTGTCATTTATTTGCAGCTAGCACTTTTTTTACAGAGCCATTGCCGCCATTTCCTCCAAGGTCCATTGATGATGGAAACAGAACCATCCATCCTGAAACACATGGGATGTGGAACGCCAGGAACTGATCCCTCAAAAAAGCAGACGAGTTGATCAGCTGCCACTGACCAGCGATGAACCTCAGCGGCCTTGGAGTTGATGCCGGGAGTTCGGAGACGTCTGACTCGTCGACTCAAAATCCATGGGTCTGTAGGATGGGAAGTGCTGTTTTTTTTTTTTTTGCAACGACCCAGATGAATGGACACTCAAGATTTTTTTGTCCTGTTTTTCTTGGTACACGGAGCCAGACAAGGAAAGGGACCCAACAGATAGGTCGCCCAATCACTGGGCCAACTGAGATGATATGTAATTTTCATATTCCTTCTGTGAGTATCATGATTATCATCATGATTCTAATATATTTAATACATCAATCATGGTGGCTTAGCCAAGCAACATCTGTGATATACAAATTTTGTTTGCTTTTGGTCTGGGGAATGAGGCAATAATTTCTAAGACAACGGAATTGGCCAACATGTGTTTGTTCTTGTTTCAGCATAGCCCTTGGTGGATATACCCCTGGGTGAATAATGTTGACCTCTCACCAACCTCTCCATGAAGGATGGCTAGCAAGGGAAACCAATCGAAATGGGCTTATTTCGTTTCATTTCTTATTTGGTAATCATTATTCATTTGCCCAGAGACTTCGTAGGCTCCCAACGATATTTCCACAAGGCTTTGGGAAATTCCTGAACAGAACGGCATGCGTTTCACTCTCCTGGCCGCTGGCCCTTTTTGCGGCCCGTTGCGTAGTTTTCTTTGTGTCCCAACTGTTTCACAGACCGTCACTCCATGGATCGAAAGAAAGCCAGGTGAGCAGTGATCAAAAAATACGAAGGAGTGGTCGTTTATACAATTTGAAACTTCAACATTTGGTAGGGTTCAGAACACAAAAACCTCTAAGATGAAAAAACACCAACATCAGTGGTTGCAAGGTGTTTCATTTTTTGACCAATATATACCGGAAGCATGATTTTAACATTGCCAGTATTGGGAGGGTTTGAGAGTATATAATATATATATAGTTGTACCAACCTTGATGCAATATCTATATCTATGAATATGTATGTATATATATAGAGTTATCTATGGCTTGAAGCAGACACTTTGCGAGCTGCTCGATGAGCAAATCTCCATCAAAACAGGCAATTTCAGATATACCCTATGAACCATTCATGATGCCATGGCTGCCATGGTAGGACTGAACCGATCGCTGCTCCCATTGGTGTGGCGGCTCCGTCGGTCCCTTCAAACGCCCGCAGGTGCAAAGGTCACTGCGGACAACGGTAGATCGAGTTTAGAGGGACGAAAACGGGGTCCGATGAAGCTGCTGGGAAGAAGTGAGCAGTGGCTGCTAGACATCCCATTTATATCGGTGATGCGACCATCATTTATAGGGGTTAAGCATCAAGCTGAAGAATTGGGATCCAGAATTGGAAACCATCAACCTCAACTACTAATCACCTATTTGCTGAAGAAAGGAATCCTGGAATTAGTTTTATAAGAGGAAATTGGGAGGAAAACCCGAAGAACTCAGATGGTAATCTTCTGCCATGAAGCAATTTTTGATGGGTGATTGCGGGAATTTTGGTCGCCCAGAGTTCGGTCACAGAAGAACCCCATCTATCCAAACATAGCCTATATTTGATGATATTTCTCCATCTTGGTAAATATTCCCCATTTCTATTGATGGAATTCACCACTCAAATCCCAGATGATTCTCCTGTCAAAAGATGCATCATAATAGATGATTGCACTGGTACCTGGTAAACTAACATAGCTATGGGAAATCACTATTTTTAGTGGGTAAATCCACTATAAATGGCCATTTTCAATAGCTATGTTAGTTTACCAGAGGGTATGTCCTATCCTATTGGACATATTTGTGCCCATCTATCTCCATTATTAACTTGTCAACCCCGTACGAATAAGCTCTGGTCGAGTAAAACGGGTTACCTTCCCACCCAGAAATAATCAGCGCATCCGTGTATTGACCCCGGAACTGACATAACATCAAAAGTGGCGGATAACATGGCGATGTCAAGCGCTATCACGCAATATCACGCGATATCCATATGTCTATTTATCTATCTATCCATCCATCCATCCATCCATATATCTATCTATCTATCTATCTCTCTCTCTCTATCTCTCTCTCTCTATCTCTCTATCTATCTATATCTATCTATATCTATCTCTATCTCTCTCTATCTATCTCTATCTATCTATATCTATCTATATCTATCTATATCTATCTATATCAATCTATATCAATCTATATCAAGCTATATCAATCTATATCAATCTATATCAATCTATATCAATCTATATCAATCTATATCAATCTATATCAATCTATATCAATCTATATCAATCTATATCTATCTATATCTATCTATGTCTATCTATGTCTATCTATGTCTATCTATGTCTATCTATGTCTATCTATATCTATTTATCTATTTATCTATCTCTCTATCTCTATCTCTCTATATCAATCTATATCTATCTATGTGTACCTATGTCTATCTATATCTATCTATATCTATCTATATCTATCTATATCTATCTTATCTATCTTATCTATCTTATCTATCTTATCCATCTTATCCATCTTATCTATCTTATATCTCTTATCTATCTTATCTATCTTATCTATCTTATCTTATCTATCTTGTCTATCTTATCTTTCTTATCTATATTATCTATCTTATCTATCTTATCTATCCTATCTATCTTATCTATCCTATCTATCCTATCCTATCCTATCCTATCCTATCCTATCCTATCCTATCCTATCCTATATATATATTATACATATTTATTCATTCATTTATATATATATATATTTAAACCTATTTATTTATTTATGATTTTTCCCGATCTTTATATGCATGGACTCGCCCCATGCGTATCAATTTTGATCGATTTTCTTCTCAAAAGTGGCTGATATCCCTGAGGCGGGCCAGCTCGGTTGAGGCGGGAGATGGGATTTGACCGTGACATGAGCCTCTGACTACAGTACTATAGGTTATGAGCCCTTTGGGTAATAGGACATTCTTGAGATGTCACAAACTAGACCGGGATTTCCAGCACTTAAGATTATCGAGTACAAGATGTACAAGCAACAAGCTGATTGTTGCACTCCATGAAAGAGATGTTCACCCATGGGTTCATAGGAATTACAGTAGCAATTATAAGCCCAAGCAAAATCATGTACACTGCTGTCAGCAAGGAAATGATTCCACCAACTGAGTCAGCACCGGCAACACCTACCTTTACCTTGCCTCCTGGTATCCAGGAGCCCGTTTAACAAGCATGGCAGTGGAAACGCCCCTCTCGAAATAGGAAAATAGGAAAATGATTTGCATTTCTGGGTGATTCTCCAGTCAGCTTAGCGTGTCAGACTTTGTCCGACAATTGGCTCGAAGAAATTTTTGCACCATTTGTGGTGGACAAAAAATCATTGGGCACCCTAGAAACCCAAAGTTGTCGCCTTCGAGTGACAAGATCGGGTCTTGTAGGGACCCATTTTGTAAGAGGGTAAAAAACAACACCATCAAGGAGACAAAAAAGGGTTTGAAGGTCAAACCAAAAAGGCTTCGAGTTATCGAGAATTTTTGGAAGAAGCGTTCGCAAAAAAAAAAACTCTCTCATAAACTCACATAGCTGTAGAAAACCAGCATTTTCAATAGGGAAATCAAGGATTTCAATGGGCCATTTTCCATAGCTATGTTAGAGTTACCAGAGGTTAAATCACAATTTGCCTGGGTTAAATCTCAATCATCAGTCAATGACCATTAAATCATATTAAATCACTATCCTTGGTTGAATCCCATTAAATCACCATTCAATGATATGGGTTATTCACATCCATTTACCGGCTATTTTGATGTGAACTACAGGGGTACAAGGTTTTGACCCATCCCCATATACTAAATC